CAAATAACTTTATTTCAACAAATTTATCAATGATTATTAAAGTCTGACAAACTCTACCTGAATGAAGTCAAAGGATTCTATTTTATTCATGTTTAAGTTTGATACTGGTATTTAAGTGGGCAATTGTTATGTTCAAAGAAAGAGTCATGTTCAAAGAAAATGCATTCTAAAGGAGAAGCAACACATACTAAGAGGCACAAATGTAGATGGGATTACCAAGGGGACAAAAGAGCATTACACACAGGCTAAGAACATGACCCAATATATGTCTTCTATTTTTATCAGGACATAAATAGTGACACGAGTTGCTTTATGATTGCTGACTGAAAAAGCAAATAGCAGAAGAAGTGTTTAACAGCTATCTCCAAGTCCTTGTCTAGGCTACAACTGAGTTAAGATTTATTTTTCCTGGACTATCATCTATCTTCTCTATTGTTTCTTTGCTCTCTCACTGTTGTTATGTTCCTTGGTATTGTTATTTTACAAAAAAGTTAAATCTATGACGCAGCAGACAACTGACATGCTAATATCTGGATTTTTGTTTAGAGGAAAGCTAGTGAAAACTCAGCCCCTCCTATGGATTTCTTTACCCCTACAAAGGTAAAGACAACTCAGTTGGAACAGATAGCTTTATCGTTTCTAATAAGGAGAGCTGGTAATTTTTCTGCATCAGGATTACAGACTGCAGTAGCATGTCTTAATCTTGCCTCTTTTTGCACCTACTTTATTAGTTTTATTAAGCACAATTAAAAGACAAAGCATTTGACATACAGGAGAAATAATATAACAACTGAACTGATAACAAGGTTTTGAAGAGCAGCCTTGGGGCAATAGGTAGCATGATAACAACGTGCACATTGCCACCAAAGGAATAAAGAAGAAAACCACACCACAATAAAGTCTTCAACATTCAAATATTTTACATTAAAAAAAATAAAAATCAGCATTTTTGGTTTAAAGAAATAAAGGGGATTCTTTTTCCTCTCCAGACTTCAACATTCTGTCTGTATACGGTAGGTAGAGACCACTGTCTGAATGGACATTAGCAGAAGGTTGAGACTGATAGCTTTCCACTTCCAAGTTGACTGATAGCCATGGGTGGTAGAAGAGGCATTCTTGTAATTTTGATTCACAGACTGATGACTAGACAAAGCCTAGCAAGAAAACTGTCCTGCTCCTGATAATTATGCTGTAGCTGGTCATATATTGTAATTTTAAATGCAGGTCAAGGGCACTCAGAGATTCATGTAGAAAAAATCTGAACTGAGTTATCACTTTGTCCAAAGGCCTAAATGCACACCTACCATCTACAAAATAAGACAAATGCTTTACTGACTCCCCAAATCCTTAAAGTGCATAGCACATATCAACTGACAAAACAAGGAAACATCATCGTCAATTGACACATAAAACAAGGAAATATTACACCAACACTAACATTAACCTGTTCCCAAAGCACAATGCTTTTAAAGCAACTGACCTCTCTGACTTACCTTAAAAAACTAATTTAAAAACTCAAACATTATACAAAGCAATAAGGAGCTTTTTATCTAGACTTTGTTTTAATTGTATCAATTTGCACTAGCTATTAAAGTATATCCTTAAGATTTGAGAACAATCTTACCAGCTTTTCTGCTTCCGTATTCATCTCTCTTAACTGTTTGATGTGTTCCTTCTTGATCATAAGGATTTTCGATAACCTGGTCTAAAACAAAGGAGCTCTTTTTAGAATGAGCAGGTCCTTATGTAGTTCTGAAATTGCATACAGATTCAAGATAATAAAGTGGATGTATTTTTTACCATTTTAAAATACATTTCTCAGTTGTTTATAGCATCAAAATGTAGAAATAATTAATTAGAAATTAATTGAGACTAAACGATGGATATTTCAGAGGCTTTTAAAAGCATTTTCAAGTACCTTAGATTGGAGAAAGCTGAAATCCATCAGCTGGAATTCCCTCCAGGAAGACTAACACAGTTTATATTGTTAGAGGCAGAAGAATCAAGAACCTAATTTTTCTTCTAGCCTGAAGGAAAGCTGTATCATCATGGTGATAACATGTACTGCAATTAAGAGCACTTGTCCTTCCATAGCTTTTGCTCAGAATTCTAGCCTGTTCTCAGCTGTGCCCTGGACTGATCACTAGCTCTTTGGGTACATTCTTGCAATAAAACCTGGTATACAGACTGGATCTACTTCCTACAGTCCTGCTCTGGGCATTCCATTTTTCCTGTTTCTTTCAGAACGCGTATATCCTGTTCTTCTGCCCTGGGGACCTAACAGGCTGAAGAGGAAATCACTGGGACTGCTCTCAGCACATACATCGCTTCTAAAACTGTTCATACTCTCTCAAGCCCACAGAGAGAAATTTTAGCTTCAATCAACAACGGTTTTGTTACTGTTATTAACAGAGCCAAGATGCCAGGCTTTAAAAATTTCAAAGGGTTTAACTGCATCCTAGAAGGGGAACATAAGACTGGCAGAGATAGGAACTCCTGGTTCAACATATGCCACGTGATGCAACACTGCATAGGTACTTTTCCAATTCTTTCTGCTTGCTTCTAGCCTTGTACTATCCCCCAACACTCACAAGCAGTTTTGCAGCTACATGGAAAACCACGTAAGGAAAATGAAAATGATAAACAATACATTCAGGAAAGACAGGAAAAATGTTTTTAAATCGTTACTTTTGAGATGGATTATTTCCCTGATCTAGTTCACTGCCACACAAATGCACATGATGGCATTACATTTTCTCATGGGAAAAAAAAAGAGCAGCTTTTAAAATTAACAGCACCTGAATATAGAGCAAGGAAATGAAAGCTGCAGAATTAAACCCTAAGGGCATCCCAGCAATAATACAGCTGATCCAGATGTACCTCTCTACCTGGATAGGAGGCATTGCCTGGATAATGGTAATTTGATTGTTACTGACACAAGTACAGTAAAGTCCATCCTTGGCATGCTATGCAAATAAGGAAAAAGGATTCTTTCAGTTAAAGACTTCCATGGAAGCACAACTTAACATGCTCTGTTCAAAACAGAGAGAAAGTAGTTATATTCAAGTAGTTCTAGGAATATTTGATATATATTCTTTTTACAGAAAAGGTAAGGAAAGGAAAGCATTGGGAAACTACAGTACTGTATTTTACAGCCCACAGAGGCCAATACAGCTGGACATTCAAGTTTTTGTGCTGATTAGGTATCTAACAAACATCAGCATTATCTTTAAATTAAATGGAACTGGCTTTTAGTTCTCAAAATTAATCTTACCATAACAGGGGCGCGATACTGTGAGTCAACAGGAAGATTAACATACAGTTTTTCTGCACTGCTTTCCAAGTAAATCTCTCAAAGCCTGTACATAAACATTTAATAAGCCTCACGGTGCCCACGTGAAGTAAATAGCTGTAATTAAACCAATGCAAACACCTATACTTAAACTCAGAGGTGTTGGCAAATGGCATCTGGGAGGAGGGAAAGTACTGAATACTCTCTGACAGTGCTGCCAAAAAGTTCTTTGCCAAGCTATGCTGTCATCACCACCCAGCAACTAATATATTTAAGCCCCTCTGATGAAGCTGGTGTGTTCCCAGCTTAGCGCAGGCTATTTTATCTTGCAAGTTTTGGGAATGATTACTTGGTGATAAGCTTCTATGATGATGTTCATATATATTCAAGGATGTGATCCAGTCCATGACCTTCGCTGTTACATTATATTCACCCTACTTCTAGAAGTACTCCAGTGGTCAAGGTAATTTAATTTTCCCTACAAGAAACTCTGATCTTCTGCTGTCTTAAGATGTCGACCAACTTTCTTCCAGTGCTACATTTTATTAAACAGAACGCACTTTTCATTTGCCAGTAGCAGCAGTGAATACCTTAGTTCAGGTCAGTCTTCTCCTCCTTGAGGAACTCTAGCCTAGCAGCTTCATTTTCAGCATAACTCTTCCTGCTTACTGTTAAATAGTTCTCACTAAACTGGAAAAGATGTTTTAGTAGAATACTCCTCCCGATGTGAAAATTAAAAGACATGAAGGCACAGCATGCTTAGTATTTTGTATATTTTTTGAGTTAAAGAATAAACAAGAATACAAGCATTTCAATGTATGCAATAACTTGATGGGGAACATATTTCAAAAACTCTCTCGCACACAAAACCAGACAACAATCTAGCATTCATAGCTCTTTCTTCCTGTCTTCAAGATGAGAAGATACTTCTTTTTCCACAGTCATCAGACTGATACACTTCTCTGACTGTACTGCATTAACATTCTCCCTCTACTGGACATGCAGTTACACTGCAAACATTTTTTTGGTCTTGGATTGCTTCCCTCCCAGTCTAAAGTTAATCTTTTCCCAAACCCAAACCCAAAGAAACAAACAAAGAGAAAAGCATATCTTTGTCCACAGTAAAGATCAGACAGAAGCCCGATGGCAAAGTATAAATATGCAGAAATTAAAATAATATTAATTTAAAAAAAAAAAAAAATCAACAGTGCTGTTGAAAAGTGGTTGCTACAAGACCGAGTGTTTGCATACGACTCCAAGTTGTACTTAAGGACAACGTTCTCATTACTTAATCACTGCACATATTTCTGGCCACATTTCCTTTTGCTGTGAATTAGTTTTGGAACCCATAAAAGAGAACTAAAAGGCTTGGCTGAAACCTTTTTAAAGGTACACAATTATTTTTTTCTTTAAATCTTTTGTCCCCAATACAGCTTTTCCATGAAATTGTTTATTTTATGGTATCATAAGCTATGTCCTAATCATAATTGTTCTGAAGTTTTCCTTCACAGAAAGATTTTCTGACCATTTAACTGCTGAGTCGTCATTAAATCAAATGAGGGCTTTGACATTTTTACTGCAGCAGAGCACAAAAAAAAAGACAGAACTGTTTAACAGTGGTCTTTAACATAAAACTACTTCTGCATTAGTGAATGCAGAGTGATCGATATTCATTGATCACCATGTATTTTGCAACACTGGTTTCAGAATCATTCTTCACTTTTAACAGGTATGTCAATGCTCTAGGCTTAAAAAATAATGTAAACTCCCACAATAAAATTTGTTTTAAGCCTCTTGACACCTGTATCAGAAACCTCAATCAAGTATAATCACAAACCAATGCAAAAAATCCACAGCTTCACTTCTTTCAAAAAACTTGACAATCTTCATGCAAAAAATGTCTTAATACAGTACCTCTCGAGTGCCTTCACTTCAAAATCTCAGATTAAAAATTTCAGGTTTCCTGATAATGAGTAATGGTGTACCACTAAACATGACAGAAATTATACAGTTTCCAGATTTGAAATACAGAAACACTTTCACAAATGGAGCAGTTTAGTACCAAAGTCATGAAGCTTCACTGATGATACTCAGTGACTCTAGGAGGATGATAGCTGCAGATCCAGCTTAGTAGCATAAGCAAAGACTGTATCTTTTGTTTATTTCATTTCTTAACGTAACCAATCTTAGGATGACTGTATCTAATTCAAGTTTTTTTGGCTAAGCCAGATGCCAGAGCACTTTTTCCAAGACTGGCTTCACACAGTATTACTGCAAAAAACTGAATAAATCATTCTGTTAAGTAAAATTAATTATGCTGAAAGGTCAACATGTACTGTATCAGTGGGAACTACAGACAACTGAATTCTTTGAGCCAATTGTAAACTTTTATCAGATTTTCAATGTATACAAGAACACATCTCAATTCTAAATAATTTTAACACTGAGTATTCCAATTTCTTGTAGCACATTTCAAACTACTTTTCATCATTAAATAATTCAACCATAGATTATAAACCAAGCTCACAGGATCTATTGCGTTATCTCATCATCCTGAAGAATAAATTGCTTAGATTATATTTGATATTCAATAAATCTCATCTTCTTAACATCATTTGTCTATAATTTTCTGAACTGCTGTACAAAAATCACTGAAAAATTAATTCATGAAGGTGAATCATAAAACAATTTGGATTTGGAGGCAAAAATTATATCTTTTTAGACCACTGGTAGAACTAGGAAAGATAAGAGAGACTTCTGGAGACATAAGGCCTTTCTGAGGTCTGAGAAAAGAGCAACAAATTTTAAAGTTTATTAATAAATGAGGAAAAAACTTAAAAATGTACTACTAATTTCTTCTGATAATTTAATCATTTTGATATTACTGTCTTTCATATATCACCAGAATTTCATTTAACTGCAGAAGAATAGGCAGAATAAGCACAGAAAGGGCAATACACAACAAAATTAAGAGCAGAAGTTAACACTTACCACTTGAATGAGGAACTCTACTGGAAAGCCACCTAGCGTTTCACTGTCTGTGCCTGAAATTTTGTTTTTCCACGACGACTGTCCTAATAAAGGATCGCTGTCCTATACAAGAAAGAGTATTTCATTTATTAGCTTCTTTTCTTTTAGAGGGATTTGCTAAAATTACCTTATTGAGGAATCTGAGAAAACTTACGTCAAAGGCCTTGAAGCTAACAGCTTCAAGATTTGTCATAAAATATTTCTCTGAACAATATTATAAATTACAGGAAATAAACAACTTACTGTAATTGGAGACTGGAGTGAAGGTGTATAATGCAGCCGGGGAGGGGTCATAAAGAACCTAGAAGGCCGTTGTTTCTGCCCAAAGGCAGCGATTGGCATGGTTTCATGAGGTTCATTACTCTGCAATGACAAGAAAAATAAGGATATTCTTCAGGTGCCCGGCTAATTTAAAAGCTTAACATACCTTCTCAAACACATATTTTATTTCTGGAATCTGGATTAGCCATGCCCACCCATGCTCCAGGCCCAAGCAACAAAAAGGAAAAGCATTCTGCTTTCGGGCTAGTGGCAGCTTCAAAACTATATTCCACTGTTGGAGTTTGAAAAGTGTTATAGCACTGCATTAAAACAAACAAAAAACCCCACCAACCCAAATCCTGCAAGCGAGAGTAGACCTCAGACAATTTTATCTTCCTTTAGTAGACTGAATGATATACAAGATAAAAAAGAACATGCTGCCCTCTAAAAATCGTGCAGTCTAGGTCAGACTATTTAACAGAAACAATTCCCTGAAGTTCATAAATCAATACAAAAGCAAGAGAGCTGGGAAATAATTCAATTTTTTCTGGCTGAAGTAGCATTTTCACAATTAGTTTCATTACCATAAATGTTTCAAAATTATTCAATCAACATAATACCTGCTTCCAACTATCTCAAGCCTTTCCTGACTTTGGCAAATTACAGAGAGTCATGTTTCCTTGAACAACTCTAGAAATTCTGCCTAGATCCCACAGCAGAATTTTCTTTGAAAACTTACATTACTCATTATACTTCTTCATACTCAGTCTAAAACAGTAACTCTATTCTGTTATTTCAGCCTAAGTCATTACATTTGTATTAGAAAAAGTGATTCTATATAACAATCACCGTCAGAAACTCATTCTCCCAGAAATTTCCATACATCTGTTATGCTTGTTTCTGGTTTATGACAACACTACCCCGGATGTAATCAATCCTTTGAATTTTCTTCTTCTAGATTAAAGGATACAGCTGTAGATTTAAAAAAAAAAAAAAAAAAAGAATTTGCATTACAGCTATTATGAGAATGTATCATTAATACTTACAAGAACTTCATAATCTGGGATTGTCTGTGTTCCAAGACCTGCCCTGTCAAAAGTGACTCTGTACGTAGCGTTAAGGGTGTCTACTGCTTCTATCTGTCCTGTGAATAGCCCATCATGGACACCTCGTAATCGTGCTAAAAAAAAACAAAAAAAAACACAAATGAAAGAAAAAATATATCAATATCAAAAACCTCCACAAAATTGCAAATATTATAATGCTCTGATGTCACAGAGAAGAACAGACGTAGCAAATCTTTTGCATGTAACCTCGGCACCATCCAGTACATATATGAAAACAAACAAACAAAACTGACTAGATTAGATGAAAAAATTGTAAGCACAGGAAAAAAAAAACTGTATCCGTTAGCAACACTACCCAATTTTTGTCAAATTTAGTTTTGCAAGTCAAACATTTCCCACATCCAATCTTCAGCAATACATTTACGTCTAGACAAAATACTATTTAACACCCAATACCTTCTGACAATTAGGTTTTGCAGGCAAAAATCAATTTTGGAATGATTTTGCACACTATTTCTCTATGACCACTTGCACTGATAATGGCATACTTAGAAGATTTAGAGCAAAATTCAAGGATGTAGCTCTAGGAGAGTGAGAAGATACAGGGTGCTTTGCATGCCTGCTTTTCAGCAAGAATTAAGGACAGTGATGCTGAAGAACTCAGAAAGCAATGAACAGAAGAGGCTAGAGTGGGAGATATTTTGCTCAAGTGAAAAGTATCCTGCTTCACAGACAGGAAGGAGGAATGTAAGAGTTTTTACAAAATCAAGCAAAGCTGAATTTCCTTTAAAAAGGAGCTTTTTTAACAAGATTCCTTCCTCGGGTATTAGTATTTTTTTCTATAAGACAATGTCCTGTTTAGCATATGTATTCAACTACTCTGCAGTATGAATTGTATGTTTGTTTTGAGACGTCATTTTATATTTATGGAAAATAAAGCTTAAGTTTTATATTAGCTCACATTTAAACTTTCAGACAGCACTATGCTCTTGGCATTGAAGCCTCTCTAGGATTTGTTGGATATGCTTTACTTCAAACAAAACAAACCCAAACAATACCAACAATAAAAATAAACAACTACAGTTTCAACACCAGACATAATAAACCACAAGATCATATCTCAAAACCACGTCACTGTTTTACAAATACTAGGTAATCATTATAAGCACTTTCTCAATGAGCCAGCAACAAAAGCAATGAATTTTTAATGTTTTAAGTTTATTTTATCTATGCACACTATATGCACTACGGTTTACCAAAATCTTTGCAAAAATCTTGGGTATTGTTTATTAGTTTTTTTTAAGAAATTACCTGTAACTTTTGTTCCTATTACAAGGGGCAATGGAATTTCATCTGGAAGATCTTTGAACTGTGAAATATCTGCAACTTTACGCTGCTGCAAAAGTCTTATTTTCTGCCGCTTCTGTTTTAATGCTGATCTTTCTTCCTCAAAGAACGCAGAGGAGCATCTACAATACCATAAGGTAAAAAAAACTATACTTAGATTCAACACTGAAGACATACATATACAAAGACATAGCAAACAAATAAGCACAGTTTACAACTCAGTGAGAGTAATTGAAAAAGCCTGGAGAGAAGTGCTCAAGAGAGAAAGATTTTGGTGAACAGATTTAGATGGTCTGAGTCTCTGGAATTATTGCTCCTAGAGTAACAGTTTACTTAAAACAAAATTACAACAACAGAAAAAACAGCAACAAACCTAAACAAACATTGGACCACCCACAGAACAACCAGAAGGACTCAGATATGCTGTTTGCATTAATATTTCAAAAGAGTACAACTTCTGAGGACTTTTTCTGCTTACAGTGGTCCATCTGGCTTCACAACAAAGCTGAAGCAAGCCTCATATCCAGCCTATCCTGAACACCACCTCAACGCTTGTACTCGGGATTTACCGTGAGGTACCTGCCTGCCATCACCTACTGTACACAGTACAACTGTTTGAAGGTTAAACTTAGCATGAAAGGGCAGTAGACTCAACATAAAAGGGCATTTCCCTGTCTCTTCTACTTGCATTCATGCTGAGTACCTCTTAGACGCAAATCTCTATTACGTAGATTAATTGTTCTGACACTGATCACAGTACCAGTATAAATTTGTTTGAACAGGGGTTCTTGTGTAAAATCAGATCATCTCTAACATTCATCTCTCCCTTTGCTTTGGTCTTAGACTGTAATTTAAGAGACTGCAGACTCACAAGGTCCTTATTCGGTTTTATTCATTTTCACTTTTAATCTCCTGAATAGGAATGATACATGAAAATAATACTGAAAGAATAAAGATATTGCTCCTATCTCTATTCCTTGTTAATTAAGGAATCATTCCTGTGTGGACAACAGAAACCATTTAAAGGAGTATGGATGCTATCACAGGTCTGCATAATTGCAGAAGCAGTTATTTATGAAATAATTTACTACAACTTTCTCAATTTTACTGTAGTCAAATGCAATTTAAACATCCTCTGTAGAACTTATTAGTTAAATATTGATCAGTGATCAATAAAAAGTGCTATTTTACGAGGTTATTTTAGACAACACTGAAAGTTTCTCCACTGGTTCCCCATTCCATACCACCAACTATTTTCCTTTTAAAAACTCATAAAGATCTTGCTTAGTTATTTTTCTCTCATGTAGTATTAAGCAGCCAGCTCCTCTATTTCCAAGTCTCCAGATTACTCTTATTATATGCTGAAATAAACATTCATGTTTTCTTCTGTATATCCCTCACTCAAACTGTTTCACAAAGCCACTTTGCTAATCTCCAAAATTTCTCTTTCTTGCAGTATGTATGATCACAGGAACTAAGCTGTCAATGTGCTGAGTCCTTTTGCATTGACTTGTGGTTTTACACTTGCTTGTCCATGTGCATGCACCATGGCCTTTTGTCTTACACATGGTTTCAAAGTTACATGGGGAATGGAGTGTCTGTGTTGCTCAGCATGCCCACTGAGATCTTAGTCCTACAAAAGACATATAAAAATGCAGGAAGAGGAACAAATTGAATCAATGAAGTACTTCCCTCAGACCTGCACAGCAATTCACTGCAGAGAAAGTTCCTTTTCTAGGTTTTCAAATCACTATCACCACAGAAGTCATCACTCAGGGAAAGGGCAGAATCATGGTGCCTGGAGGTGTTTAAGGAAAAGGCAAAGTACTTAGGGGCATGGTTTAGTAGGCAATACAAGTGGTAAGTGGACAGTTAGACTAGACGATTTTGAAATCTTTTCTTACCTTAATGATTCTGTAATACTATTCTTTGTGTAGTCTAGAAACTGTACTCTGTGTAGACTGAGCAACAGTGGGCATGTGTCCATTCACCAGTTTACTACTGAAGAGCAAAACGTATTTACCTGGAGTTGTGTATTACCTAATGATCACCATAAGAAATTCAAAATATCTGGAAAGGGATGTGGTAAAGATAGATGGTGGCTGAAGATTTATGCAAAGCTTACTTCAATATTCTTAAAGATATTATTTTCTTCATACTTATTTTTGGAGAGGAGAAAGTGTGAAATAATCCTTGCCATAGGCTATGAATATGAACTAGCAAAATATAGGTCAGAGCTTTCTGCTCCATTGAGGAGAACAAAATAACTTATCACAGCAAGACAAAAAATGAGAGAAACAAAAAGGCAAGAATGGAATTTAGTATTAGACCTTGTAATTATGCACAAGATCTTACTTCACGAACAGCAGATACTGTCTGATGTTCTTTGACTCATGCCCTTAGAAATTCAAAGCCTGAAATACTAACCACCAATTCTTAAGGCCCTACAACAGAAGCATCAGGAATTTTTCACTGCTAGCTCAGATGCCTTTAAAAAGACTGTCCCAGATACTGTGGGTCATGGGAAGGGAAAAGCATTTCTACCCTCTGTTACGGGAAATCTCCTAAATGTTCTCTTCAAAATGTTCTTTCATTTTTGTACCATTACTATGAAGAAAAGTTAAGGCAAAAACTATGTAGTGATCACACTGCAACTTCCTTATTTTTCCATCTAAGTGTTCAATCTCTTAAGAAGCCTCTCAGTTTCTACCTTGGACACCACCATTTGAATAAACACGGGGGGGATCATCATCATCATACAATGTCAGGACAAGCATACCTATACTTAATTTATGTTCATTCCTATTTCACAACCTCAGTGAAATTTATATAGAGTAGACGAGACTAACAACTTCCTCTTCTTTTTCTTGTAGCACATATTCTCACAGCCTTCTGGAATCTTATAAGCTTTGTGGGTTCCCAGGAACAATACTGCTGTGCTATCCAACCACATTGTTGCTGGTGTGATGGGATGTTTAACATAGCAGCAGACATAAGAAAATACTACAATATATTTAATTTATATTTAATAACATAAAATGGAAGAAGAAAGAAAGAAAAGACAATAACCTTGTGCACAGCTATCACACAGAGACACTGTTATTTTCTGCCATCAACACTATGAATGTGAAATATCATTATTTCTTCTCCCTCCTCAGGAAATATCAGTATTACCATGGTATTTATCTTACTTGCACCTGACTGTGGACAGATATCAGAAATTTCCAACAGAGAAATAATAAAAAACTATACTCCAGAAGTAGATTAAAATTATTTGATAAAGCACTTGAATGATTTAGAATCATTCAAAATCTTTTAAAACTGAGACAAAAGAACTCTATTGAGATCTTGAAAAATATTGAAAAATATTTTCTTGTTTTAAATTATTTAAAAAAACCAAACAAAGAGGCAGAAATGCCTAATTGACATAAGGCAGGATCACATAATCTTTTGGTTAACAAACAAAATCAGATTATATCCAGTCACATGGTTCTAACTTCAGAATTTATGTGAAAGAACTTTTTGCCCACTTAGAACTGTGGGTCCTCCTCCTCTTCAAAACAACCCTCTCCATGTGACAGCTTAAAAAAAAAAAAGAAAAAAGATGTAAGAATTAAATGGTCCAATGCATCGTAGAATGAAGCAAGTTGGCCTTATATAGTGATACGTACCTTTGGCAGAAGTAGAATGAATGAAAGATTATAACCTTCAACTATACTAATTTCCTTTTCGAGAGAAGCATAGCGAAGAGAAACTAAAAGCTATATCACAGTTAAGCTTAAACTAGTTTAATTATTTTAATAATTAATTTTTATATTCTTTAGACTCCATTAATAAACCAGTCTTTTCTTACCTCAGCATCATTTACCATTTTTCTCCTGATCTTATAGAATTTACGGAATCACAAAATGGCTGAGGCTGGAAGGGACCTCTGAAGACATCTGGTCCAACTGCCCTGCTCAAGCAGGGACACTGAGAGCAGGTTGCCCATGACCATGTCCAGATGGCCTTTGAGCATCTCCAAGGCAGGAACTTCTCCTGGCAACCTGCTCCAATCCTCAGTCACTCTTACAGTGAAAAAAAAATAAAACAATTCCTTATGTTCAGAAGGCACCCTCCTGTGTTTGAGTTTGTGCCCACCGCATTTTACCCTTTCTCTAGACACCACTGAAAAAAGTCTGTCTCTCTCTTTTTTATATCCTCCCTTCACGTATTTGTACATATAGATCAGATCACCCCCTGAACCTTTTCTTCTCCAAGCTGTAATGGTTCTGACAGTGGGTTTAAAAGTTAAGAATTCTTAAATAGAGAAAAAACTATACTCTTCATTCAATACTGGATTCTTGTCCACAATGTCTGATATTGTATGACTGAGTTTTCCCCTCTTTGTTTTGGCAGCCAAGCCAGGAGAAGCTGAAAATCTAGAAAATAGTTTAAAGAAATAATACAATAAATGAGATGAAAATGTGCACTTGTTTTCCCTATGAAGAGCTACTTATTTCTAGAAAATACATAGTGGAAAACTGCCCTGCTTTCCATTCCAGGAAGTACTGCAACATAGAAGATGCAGTAATAATTTCAACATACTTCAGCTTATCACATATCTAGAGAGGGTAGAGAACATTTCAAGTACAAGCTTTTGAGAATGGACGGGTGAGAAGTGATGTATATGGTCAGAGAACATTACTATAAAAAAAAGTTATTCCACACACATTTGTTACTTACTATCCACATGCAAAATGATTCCAGAAAAAAAAACAATTCAGGTGACATGAAACCACGTGCAGTTATTAAATGAAAAGAAAGAAAAAAGTTACCTCCGTGGTTTTCCCATTAATCGTCTGATTTTTCCCCATTCAACTCTTGTCAATTTTCTGGTTTTCAAATTTGGAAAAGATTCCTTCAGGCATACACAGAAATCATTATCTCCTTCAAATAGTGGTCTGTTAAAATATAATTGGTTCTCTATTAACTACACTCAATAAACTTTTGTCAGAAGATTCTTAAAAAAAACCATTCATTGTAAGAAATACATTGAAAATGAGAAGTACAAATACATATAAATAAAAAATCCCTAAGTCTATTTCAAGGATAAATTTAATCTGAAATCAAGTCAGTTGAAAACAAAAGACAGAAAGTTTCCAGGACTATTGTTCTGCTTGAGCCTTACTATGAATGATGTTTAAAAGTGTTCATCTATCTTGCTACTATGGGGAAACATAGACAGTCATTCTGCTTTGTAATGTGTATAAGAGCATCAAAAGAAACTTCAGCAAAGCCAACAAAGTGTCACGGAGTCACTGCAGCCCACTGAAGGAAACCATTAAGATACAGCAAGGTATTAAGAATAAAGGAAGGGACAGTAGTAATGTGCAAGAGGATACTGAGGAATAGAAAAATGGCTCCTTTTTCATAAATTCATTCAATAATAAATCAGATTCTCAGAAGGTTCCCAAAATACAAGAAATTGAGCCAACCTGTCACTGTAGCTCTCCAGATATACATCCTACCATGACTCCATGACAAAGCAGAGGATTACTACAATAGAAGTGAAAGTTCAGAGAACCTACCAACTTACAAACTTCTCTGAGATGTTATGATCTGTCATAACACAAAGATACACCTTATGTTTTATGACTGTGTTTTACTTTGTACTACATTCTTCTTGGGCTGAGAAAACATGGCAGTTGCAATGGATATGCCTAGCTAATAGCAGGTTAATCATTACAGACCATGTGCAACTGGAATAGATCCCACCTGGTGAAAACAAAAGTAGTACATCCTAGATAAAGCCACTTTCCTCCATTCTCTGCAGGGCATTGGGATTTAAGAGGGGAAAGAAAAACTGCTAAGAGTCATCAATCATGTTCAAAAAACAGATCAGGGAGTGCAGAAAAAGTTTTATTTTAATCAGATTTACTTTCAGTAACATAAGACGTCCATGTAAAGGAAAGCTTTTTAAAAGAAAGAGAAAGAAAGAGAAAGAATCTGTATTTGATTTTTACTGTCACTTAATTTTAAGCAGGCAAACTGTAAGCCCACAGCATTTACAAGTCTGGAAGCTCTGGGAAATGGTGTAAGCAAACTGGGGCTCTCTGATCCTTGTAAGATGCTCTTTAGAAGTTTCCAACCATAACAAAGTCAATGGGATTTTACAGAAAAATGGTCCTACGTACAGCACCATAGATAGAACTCAACTGAAACAGTTTAAATCACCCAATAATCTCATAGATGACATTTGCCAAGATTAAAGTATTTTACAAACTTTCAGCAAGTAATTGGCACTTAAATTGATGATGTCAATTTAGGATAAGATTTGGTTAAAATATTGTAAGATGTGTAGAGAGCGCCATATTTCATCAGTTGACAGCTCCATGCTTTAAACTTTACTGTGGTTCACCTTGTCTAGATCTTATCACCCACAACAACATAAAGTTCTTCTTCCATAGAAATGTAGTTTCTTAATAAATTAAACTACGATAATATCTTCACAGGATTGTAACTTAGTAGTATTACAATCATACACTGATAATTATGAAAGAGATTTTTGGATTTATCTGCTAAAACAAATTTTTGTTTACTGATAGACCTAAAGCTTCACAAACATTTGGGAATAAAAAGTTCTTGGACTGTTGTATAATTAAAAAAAAGAAAAAGAACAGAAAAGATTGTATATGTCATATACTAAAATCACTACTAAGAATAAGTAGACTTTCCACTCCCTCCCTCCTGGGGAAAAGAAAAAAAAAAAAAAAAAAAGGGAAAAAAAACCCCATGTAAAAACTACTTCTTTCAAAAGATCCAACTCCCACAGAAGATGAATTTAGAACAAACTGAAATGAACATGTAATTTTTCTGGTTGTGGTGAACAGATTCGAAAATGTTTTTCTGTTGCTATGATTGCATGCTAAAGTTAACAAAAAGAGCTGCAGCAATTCTTATTAAATTTGGAAACAAAAACAGTAATTATGAATAAATTCTGGAAAAGAATGCTTGTTAACTCTGAAGCCACCCTTCAATTTATTAAACTTTAGTGATTCACACAACAGTTAATCCGTAACAATTTTTGCATTTTATTCCTTGATTAGGACTAAGTTAAAATGGTTCTTGTAAACAATTTATACCACCTTACTAGGTGGTGTTAAGCAATAAAGGCTGAAGCATAGACTTTAGAAACAACTTGGGAGATTAGGAGACCTAAGAAGATGCTGACATCTAGGGAAGAGCTGAACAGTCACAACCCAGTAGTCTGTTTGCAATCACAATAAAAATAACAGGGACAATAGGGAAGAAATATAAGTAATAAAAGTTTACAACTTGTAGGAAATGGGTATCTTCTGAAGAGGCAGTCTCCTTTCCATCTTCATTGTACACCACTGACCCAAGGGTTCAAAAAACATAAGTGTTCTGCTAACCTCATGCTTAAGAAGCTAAAAACAAATGAACAAAATCTTGCAACTGCTAGAGGCAGAGGCCATAAAAAATTAATTATTTTCATGAGGAGACATTCCAAGAACTAAAAGAACTACCCAAGTAGGTTGCTCATTATAAAAAAGAAAAAGAAAATCATTTTCAAGAATAAACTCCGGAGTGCCTAAACAGTGTATAGAAATGTATGGTTCAATTTCAGAAAACAACTTGTTTCTATACTAATAGAATATTTATATGCTTATACGAAGGACACATACTTATCTATATTAGAATAGAACCATTCATATATGCACCACTTGTGAGCTTTGGGAAGTTTGAGCAGGTTACGAAGCCGTAAACCAATCTTCTGTGAAGCTTTCTTGTCTGGTGTTGACATCGTTGTATTAAACTTCTATATAGTAAAACAAAGGAAACGGTTAAACAGTCTGCTGTCCTTCAATACTCAAATAATTAAACTAGATTTTCTTGAAACAAATTCATATATTAACTATTGCTACATTTTAATTCTACATATTGTTACATGAAAATTTGTTGTTGTTGCTGCAAATCTGTAATAAACCTTACTGCACTTTATCAGCAACGCAATCAAACAAAACAGATGGCAAACTTTAGCAGGATCAGCACAACAAATTATCTTCGCACAAAGCTCTTCTAAGGAAAGCTTTTTCCAACACTGAAACTACATTGCTGATAACAGTACACAAGTACTGAAGCACACACAGGCCTCAAATGTTTGAGGCACTACAGAACAGTTTCAAGTTGGCATACGTGATGTGGTAGCTGAAATGCCAGCAACATCAGTCACCTCATCTGCCCTACTGCTTCTACTCTTGATAACTCTTAAACTTCAGATGAAACTAGCACAATAACGTCAAAGCCCCGAGCAGAGCATCTACTTTTTGAAAAACTGGAAGAGTACCTAGCATGGACATAAGCAATCAAGTTTAAACTAAGTTTGACAGCTATTTTATAAATTGCAGAAAGGCACTGTCTTAGATCACATGCATAATCTAAGAACTGTTTAAAGAAGACTAGAAAACTAGCTCTGTAATCTCCTTACAGGGATGGCAATCTTGACTAACAGAAAGAAAAGCTTACTGAAAACATAACAGTTTTCAAGAACATTAGTTTAACTGGGTCCCTATGCCATAATTAGTTGTTATCCATTCCCAAACGCTCACAAATGACCTTCAGCAGCAGTAACAGAATAGAGCACAAGGTAGGCACCTTGCAGGAAAAAACTGGGAGGAAACAACCTGTTATGCTTAACCACTACTTGGTATATACAGCCCCCCTTTTTACCACTGGAACTCCAGGAAACAAAGGCTAGCACAATGTTAAGATCCACGTGTTAAAGCAGCTGTAGGCTCTCATAAAGGTTTTTCTAACAATTGTGGGACCTCCTAAGCCAACATTTAAGTACAGATGAACTAGGCATAGGACATTGTCAGGCCTTTTGACTGTTAAGAAATCATAGTAACAAAAGAGAAACATCTTTGACAAAACAAATCCAGCAAAACAGCAGTTACTAAGTCTTCCCCATTCTACACAGCACAGTATGGTTCATAAGGTGCATATTCAAGTACTACTTGTTGCAAATTCAAGGTACATATTCAAGTACTACTAGTGGCAAATCCAGACTCACAAGGTGATGGTACACAGAGAAGTGATTTGGATGACAGGAATGTCAGAGAACCAATTCTTTGAAACAGATAATGCCCGGTTCAACACAGCAAATAAAGGGAAGAAAAATAACTGCTACTCTTTTGTGCTATACCAAAAAGCAGACAGTCAAGCAATGGGGCAGATAAACAAGCTATCTGAACTGGAGGATGGCATCATTTCAGGACAAAGGTAGAGATGGCTGTGAATATATTGAAGGCTATAACTCTACAGCAAGTTTCTAACTACTGAAATATATTAATTTATATAGAAGTCCTATAAATGATAATAGTCTGGGGAAGAACCCTCGCCGATTTTTAACTAAAGAGGAATAAATTTGTGCAGGAGTAAGATATGCTGTAACTCTGGACTGCTTTCTAGCTCTGTATTCTTATGTCCAGCATCAAAAAGAACAAGCACTCTCATAAACAATCGTAGGAATGCAGTTATAATGAAGAAAATACAAATCTGGTTTGAATTGAGGCTTACTCCTAGCAACATCTTTCCTCACAGGCATATTCATAGACAGATACTGCAACTTGAAAAGCAAATATATTCTATTCTTCAACTAAAACATATGGGCTTGTTCTCGTTTTTGGTAAAAATATCTGCATACATGTAGGTACCTGTGGAACCATCACAACCTTCTGATTTCTTTTGGGTGACCTTGTGTTTATTTGTCTGTCATCTTCTTCACAGAAGAGTCGACTCCGTTTTGAATTTCTGAAGGGCTGCACATATCAAAATTGAGAATGAATTACAAGAAAAAAATAAAAACAGATTTCTCTGTTCATGCACGGTATTCACAGTCAGAGAAATGGAACGCCTTTCTCTTGCCACCTACTGGTTTTAAGGCACAAGGAATTTAAGGATCAAGGCTTTCCAGTGCTAACCATTATCCATTACCCTGCTGCTGGCCCAGTCCCAGGCAAGACTTTAGAACCTAACTCACACTTGTATCCAGATGAGTTAGATGTCTGAACACTTGTATATCTAAGCTTAATACATTACTTATGTTGGCTATAAACATCTCTCTTAAACAGTTTGTTCTAAATTTTTGGTAAAACAAATCGTCTAAACTGTGTTTCGGTATGCTCTCATCAAAAATATTAGCTGTATATATTTTTTTTTGCATGGATTATATGAGTATATTATTTTACTATTATTATTTTTAATTTACTGGAAGTACCTACACTAGAGAATTCTAAGTTCACATCTGACAAACGTAAAGCTTGTATAAGTTATCAAGCTATCAGACAAGAGAAGAAATTAGAATTTATGCTGACAAAAATTTACTCATGCTAAGAGGTTATAACCCAAAAAGAATGAGAAGGCTGACTGAAAAATGAGAAATTATATTGTAAATGTGTGCCAGGAAGCTTGTCCCTCCTTTCTAACACTTCTGTTTAGTTATTCCTCAACATTTTACTCTATAACAAAAATTTTGAGTTTTCAATGAGGTCAAAACAGTAATCTCTGACTGGCTGTCAACATCAACAGTAAAAGCAAAAAGCTTTCCCTTCCATGAAAACTGCAGCAGGAGCCAATCATAATTGAAGTGTCTCTCCTTTGCAGAATTTCAGGGCTGCACCATTGTAATTCAAACTATTAACAAAGGTGATGAGTGAAGGTCAAACAAATGCAGAAATCATTTCTGCCAGTAGAAGTGGTGGAATGCTGCAAATCGGTATTGATATGAAATCTGTAGCTTCCACAACATGAAGAATATTAACAGCAACAATAAGTCCCCAGTAGCAATCATAAAATAAATCAAGAAAGAAAAATAAAACTTCACTAATAAGCATTTATATATGAGAAATTTATTCAATAAGCTTGTAACTGATCAAAATATCTGAAAAGACACGTTTCTAATTGAATACATTAGTAGTAGCAAAAAAATGGCTTGTCCCATGCCATGAGAATAGCTAGTGCTTTCCCAGGGAAGTATGTTTTCCCCCTTGCAGTTGGATAATAGTTCTGTATATGTGCTGGACTAAGCACATGGAAGAAGGAAACTCCCATTTCTTACACACTTTATGAACCAGGAGAGAGACACACACTGAACAGAGAAGCTATATATTAGCATGGTAACTGAATAGTGCCCACATCATATTATCAGTGATTAGTTTACCATGTTAATTGTTCTGGATGTTGTACATGAAGACAGAGAAACATGTGTTGATTTTATTTCTTCAAATCTGACAACTTACTAAGTCTTAAAAACAATATTAGATTTAAATTATAATGTCTTTATATTCTTTTATGCCATTTCTGTTGAACTTGACAAGCTATCAGCCTAAAAAAGGAAGGTCAGAACTACTCTAACATTTGAGCATGGAAAGAAATCACAACCCTCCTTCAATAAAGACTCTTACTATGTTACTAAACTCTTTTTTTTTTTTTTTTTTTTTTCTTTCCTTTTCCCCCCTTAATCACATCATTCTGGCTACCAGACTTGGGGTCATGTTCTCTTGGATATTTTCTATTACATTTCAGTATTGATGTTTGAGATGCTGGTTCCAGAACACCTGTTTTTCACTCGCAAATGCCTGTACAGCAGTACTTGATGATGCTATACCAGATTAAAATCATGTGTGATATAGGAACAAAAATATTCCACCTAGAAAAACTTAAAAGTTCCTTCAACTTTCCACTAAGGCTATGTTACTGGAATAGAACTGCTTCCCAATCCTCAATAAAAGCTATCAAATTCTATTCCAAGGAACCACCCAAAACAACAAAGTTTTACAGTCTGGATTATTGACATCAAACACTAGAATAAAATAACAGCTGTCAAAAAGAAACAGCATCCACCTCAGCTAAATAGGTCAGGCATTTTGGGAAAGACTTTTCAATCAATAGCACAACCTAAAGCTCCTAGTGTACAGGGATCTCAAAATAGTATATAAGACTACATAACATCTATGCAGCATGGGCCATTACTAACATATTAATCTATCCTCTGACCCACGTCCCAGCTTTATATAAAATACTGAGTTAAATACGAAGTTTCGCTCCTTATTTTTGATATCTAGAGTACCTAGCGACAGACAAAGTTTTGATATTATAGTTTTTTGATGTTAATGTTACAGCTACTGACTTCTGTTGTATGGAGCATATAATCTTCTATATTGCCAGTAAAGCTTGTTTCTGTGAGAAGATAACCATTCCTGGGACACAGCTGGAAACTGTCATGAACTCTGTCAGGAAGTCAGGGCCATAGCAAAGTTCCAGTCACTGCCTGGAGCTGCATTTTGTAGACTTTTGTAGTTCCCCAGCATAAGCACTCAGCAATGTGTGCACATACATCTCCGTGAATCCTCCCAAAACAAACACTTTCTCTGAGTGAGATTTTCTCCACAGGGAGAAAAAAAAGTCACTGAACAAACTAGGTGACAGATGTTAGTCACACTGCTTTAATGCACTACTAGATACTGCTCAGGTATTTTGGTTGCATGCAGAGCTGGCAAATGCAATAGTTTCCAAACATGATTCTCCACTTCTAGTAAACAAGCACTTCACAATAAATAAATTAATGATTTGAATTAAAATTAAAAAAAAAAAAAAGGTGAGAGCTGGAAAGTTGATTGTAATTACTCTAGTACTCTGGAAAAAGGTGGCATCAAAAAAGTGTAGGAGAAAGATCTGCATAGCAATTGAGAGAGTATTTCATACACTCTTCAGTCTGTAGTAAGAAGAGTACACTAACACACATGCAGACAAACTAGGTATCAGAGCTGCTGGCAAAACCAAACCAAACAAACATTAAAAAGCTAGGTAAGGTTGAGAACACCTGGACTAATCAAGAAAAGGTTGAACTTGAAACAACGGAGAAAGAAGTGACAATGGAATGCTTCAAACAGAGAGGGGGAAATGGTCAGCCTAACAGTGGCTACATGATCTTGGAAGATTCAGGCTCTTTGACTTTTACTTCCCTATACCAAGGACATTCTTTAACTCAAGGTCCTCTTATGAGTCCTCTCAGAATACTGCAGAACATTTCACTGACATCCCTTCATCTTTATTAAAATATCCCCCTCGGAAGGCACAAGGATGGAAGTGACATTCCCCCTTCCTTTTCCTTACACGTCAGTTCCAAGCCTAAATTAAAATAAGATATTTCATGAGATAAAATAAATGGTCAATAAGAGAAAATGATTAGCAGCTATCTTGAACAAGGTCAGCAACTTAATTTGTTTGCTTATTCGTTTATAAAAAATGCTTTCAATTCATATTGGAACTTCATAAGCTGCTTGTGAAGCAGACAGTTTAACATTCTGAGATTAAGAAACTATGAATTCTCAGCCACATTTTTTGATCAACTTCATCATATTTTGCCAATCCAAAAGTTGTCTTTTTATTGCTTCTTACCATTTCCACAGTAGAGCCAACATTCTTGCTTTTCCAAATAGGAGTTTTCTGCAGTGAATTATATTTTTCATTCCACGTATTGGACAAACTTCCCTCTGTTGTGAGAAATTCATGTCATTAATACATATACACTATATAAAAGTATATATGCATGTATACTTAAAAGTATTAACTACTATCTGAAACCTAGTGTAACATCATCCACTACTACTATGTATTTATTTTACTTGCATTCCTTCTTTAGATTCAAATATAAGTGGATTTTAGATTGCAGCATTTTTATTAAATAACTCTGAACATCAATTAAAAAAGGAGAAACGGGAAAAGAACTTCATTATTTCTGAAACAAAGTTTAGATTTCATAAAACCTCCTTTGGTGAAATCAGTTACTTCCATTACTTCCCCTGTCAGGGTGACAAGCTAAAACTGAATCTTGGGGAAAATAAAGTGATTAAGCAGGTGCAAACCAACAAGTAAAACAAATTTAAGTGAAACAAGCTATGTTAATTAAAAGAGATTCAGCAAACCATGTCATTTTCCTTGTGTAGGAATATGTAATGAAACTTCTCTATTGTTAGGCAGATTTTAAGTATTCAAAAGTTGTATGTAACACTCATTTCAAAGAAAAGAAATAGATTTTTGAGTTAGCCTACAACTTGCTGACAGAAAACACAAAGAGATTATGAATTTCCTTCCTAACATAAAATTTGTCACATGTATAGATCTCACCAGGAATCCTCCTATCTCATCCTCCAGAGAGGAAAAATTACCTCAATTTTCTCATCAAACCTGCCGCCTAAGCAATGCTGAAGAAGTAGCACTTTTCAGGAATGCCATCCAGAAGAACAGTGTCTGAACACACCACAGCGTACGCAGTTTCAACCACCAAGCATTATCAGCCTACAGAGCTAACTAATAAGAACAACAAAACTAATGATATTTTAAGAAAACACAACAAAACATCAAAACCAAATATTTTTCAGTGTTATATTCTTCATGTCTTAGAGCCAGAAACTAAGCATACATGAAAGTCAGAGTGGGTGTTTCATTTGCCCATGTAAATAACACGTTATCTTCTTACCTTTCAAGCTCACCAGTGCTTTCGCTGAAGAACCTGAAATATATCAGAAAATCCACATAAACAATTTTGAAGTATACAACTTATTCATTCTTAATTCTTAGGAAGAAATGAGAATATTAAAACTTTCACAGTTGAATGAGGGAACTCAAGGCACCTCCCACTGCACCAAGGACAGTATTAGATGATTATGACCCAATAAAACTCTTTTTGTTCTTCCTTTAGCTTCACACTTACATAACTGTTTCAGATGCTGAGCACTTTCATTCACCACAGCAGCTTCTCAACAGGCTTAATGTCCAAATAACACACAGGTGCAACTACGTTACATGATTTACTAGGATACAGTAAGTAACTTTCTTTTATCATCCAACTAATTCAAAATTCTTCAGTGCCAGAAGTGTCCACACAAGAGGTAGTTTGTGTGTGCTAAGCTTGGATCAAAAGCAGGTGGTCAGATAGCCAGTTGCCCCCAGTAGTACCTCCTTGCAGCAGATTCAGGCATTAGAAATGTAGACACAATCCTTGCTTTGCTTTCAGTTTTCAAACTGTGTAGTGCATCCATCAGAACTTCACTGCTCCCCTTGAAAGGCATCTGTAAGATCTCTGTGTGGTTCTGGGTGAGAAAAGTAAAAGCTAGGCCTCACCACTGTCCTCATGCTCTGCAGTCAGCAAATGGCTCTCTAAGAAGAAAACGTTGGAAGCACTTACAATAAGAGAAGACAAAGGGAAATGTATTTCTGCTTGAAAGTGCTTCCAGAACTTCACGACTTCTTCTCAAATCAACCTTACCTTCCCACTTATGTCCCACTGTTGCAATCTTTCCTTCTAGCACTGCTTCCTCCTCTGCCTCCTCACTTTCCCCAGGTCCTTCCTTCAGCTTCTCACAAACTGCAGTTCCAGAGAGAATTTTTTGCTCCAAAGGTCTGGAAATCCCTTTGCTTGCGACTCTTCTGATCTGTGCCCTAAGCCCACTAACTTCATAATGCCAGATCTTTGCTTCAAGGGGACACATTACAGGGAAGTCACAGAGCCAAGAATGAAATATTGCCCCTTTCCAAGAGAACAAGGTATTTTGGCTTGGGGTGGGCTGTTGGAAATGAACACAGGAGAAGTGAGGACAGAAGGAAAAAAAAAGAAACAACAAACAAGCACCTGCATTCCTTATTCTTTCAATGTTTGCTGACAACATCTGTTTGAGTTTGAGTAATGAAACAGAACAAGCTTTCACTCATTGGTGGTTTGGAAGGCCCCTCTCCCAGTTTCTTTCAAGCTGCTCAACTGCAAGGTAACACACTTGGCCTACACCTTTGCCCTTCCTGCACATTTCTTTCACAGGTGAAATAAACTTTGACAGCTTGAATCACACATTGATGGAATCGCCAAGGCTGGAAAAGACCTCCAAGATCATATAGTCCAACCATCCACCTACCACCAATACTACTTCCCCACTAAACCAAATCCCTTAGGGCAACGTCTGAACATTTCTTGAACACCTCAAGGGATGGTGACTCCACCACCTCCCTGGGCAGCCCATTCCAGCACCTGACCGCTCTTTTGGAGAATAAATTTTTCCTAATATGCCAACCTGAACCTCTTACGGCACAACTTGAGACCATTCACTCTCATCCTATCACTGGTTATCCAGGAGAAGAGCCTGAGCCTCACCTCGCCACAACCTCCTTTCAGGCAGTTGTAGAGAGCGATAAGGTCACCCTGAGCCTCCTCCAGACTGAACAATCTCAGCTCTCTGAGCTGCTCCTCATAAGACTTGTGCTTCAGACCCTTCACAGCCCTTTTCTGGACATGCTCCAGAGCCTCAGGGACATTCTTGTAGTGAGGGGCCCAGAACCGAACACAGCACTCAAGGTGCAGCCTCACCAGAGCTGAGTACAGGGGGACGATGCCCTCCCTGCTCCTGCTGGCTGCACTATTGCTGATACAAGTCAGGATGCCACTGGCCTTCTTGGTCATACTGCTGGCTCATATTCAGCCGAGTGTCAGCCAACACCCCCACATCCATTCTTCTACACAGGTCCTTCAGCCACTCCACCCCAAGCCCATAACATTGCCTGGGGTTGTTGTGACGGAAGTGCAGGACCCAGCACTTGGTTGTGTTGAACTCCATCCCATTGGCTTCAGCCCATCCATCGAGCCTGTCCAGATGCTCCAGATACTGTCCTTCCTACTCCCAGGCAGATCAACACTTCCCCCCAACTTGGTGTCGATTGCAAACTTCCTGAGGGTGCACTCAATCCCCTCATCAGTAAAGCTACTAAACAGGACAGGCCCCAGTACTGACCCCTGGGGAACATCTCTGGTGACTGATCACCTGCTGGATGTAACTCCATTCACCACCACTCTTTGGGCCCAGTTCTCCACCCAGCAAAGAGCCACAGGCTGCCAACTTCTCAATAACAATACTGTGGAAGACAGTGTCAAAGGCTTTGCTGAACTATAGGTAGAGTACAGCAACTGCCTTTCTTTCATCTACCAAGCAGGTCACTCGCTCATAGAAGGATCAGGTTGGTCAGGCAGAACCTGCTTTGGTAACATGAAAGTTATGGAACTTGCTTCTGTGCTGACCTGGTTCCAAGTGGATTCACCTCTTGTAACTGAGGAGTAGCTTTACATCACAAATATATTACTGGGTAAATTAAAGCCAGCATATAAAATTGTATATTTTCCAATCCAGGTGAATTTGAAGTAAAACTGAAATATTTTAATGTAACAAATCGCAGAAAATATTTAGTTTAAAGCATTAGAATAAATGTAGAATATCAAAATGACAGCAGAGATGTGTAACTAAGCTTAATTTTACCTTATAGACAGTAACTTGATGCATAGATTTTCTTGTCAAGTTTTCTTGTCTTATCAAACTTCAAGGAAAACAGCCCAATCCCTTCTATTTTCCATTTAGTTTGGCAGTATTTCACATTCAACCAGGGACACAAAAACTGAAACCAGGATGACCTTCTGAGTAGTAACAGATTTCAACAAAACACACCCAACGTTTAATACAGACAAAAACATTTCAGAAATCATAAAGATCACTATTGTTCAGAATAGACTAAGTTTTCTGAAACAATTCTAATTTTCGGTCGCAATAATTATTGGATTCATACCATCACAACCCCACATTAAATAGGGGCTAATTTTGTACACTACTTCTGTTCTGAATACAATTACATAATCGCTGGCAGTCTTTTTACTCAGCGCTTTAATTACAGAGATAAAAGCAGAACACACACATACACTTGAATGTAAACACCTATTATGACGAGCAGGCAGATTTCATTTGTGCGAACATTAAGCGCTTCACAAGAAATGGGTGGAAGCAAAGAAGGCCTACGCATCACATAGGGTGTTGCGGCCAAAATCTACTTCCAGGTCCTCCGGGTTCACTGCATCACGGAGGTGACTGAGACTGGAAATAAGACAACTTTGGGATGAAGCACGGCAAAATGCACAACTGCTGCCAGGGAGGTGGTGGAGTCAGTGTCCCTGGGGGTGTTTCAAGAAACGTGTAGATGTGGTACAAAGGAACACGGTTTAGTGGGCAATGCTGGTGTTAGGCGGACAGTTGGACTAGATAATTTCAGAGGTCTTTTCCAACCTTAATGATTCTATGATCGTTATGGTCTCTTCCAACCTAAGCCATTCTGTGATTCTAGGAATATCACTGCGATTCAGTATGAGGAGCTGTGAACACCCTGCTGGAGATTTTCAATATTAACATATAAGCAAAACAACTTCTCAACAATTATCCTTTTATTTTAAGTAGGAACACAGACAAAAGCATTAAATTTATGAAAGACTCTTCAGTCACTCTTTCAAATAGTAAATTTGTAACAGCTGATTATGTTTTTGAAAACAAAAGTTACAAATGACCCAAGCGATGTTCCAAAGTTACTGATTTTAGTGGTACGTGAGTACAAAGAGGAGTTCCAAGAGCATATCTAAATCAATATAGGCAATTACATTGTTTAGATAAGTGATAATATAATAAGAAAACTTTTCTCATCAGATTGTTAAAACATTTTCTACATTTGGCACAGGTGAGCATTCATTTTATTGCTGCTTGCAGGAAAATCTCTAAAGCCCACATCATCAAGCTACACTACTGGCTCTAAGAATGGTGTGGCTAAGGAAACTTGTGGAGAAGGGAAAAACACAAGCCTTTATTACAGGTTGAGTCATTAACCCTCCCAGACATCATTCACCTACACAAGCTCAGTGTGACTGGTTTAATTGAAGGAAACACTTCAATGATTGCCCGCTCAAACAGCAGCCCATTCAGGAAAGCTTAGGAAGTTAAAAGCACACACCACACAAAAACCTGAGTTTCAAAGCTTAAATGCTCCCCGAAACCTCAGGTAACAACAGACCACTAACTTCTAGCTTTCAGTATGGATGGATCAGCATTCTCCTCATTTTATGAGCCTACTAATCAAATTGACATTTGCGTATTTCCAAATCCTAGTTTAACACTGGGTAGAAGGCAATTTTTTCCGTCTTGTGAATCCTTTTTACAGGACTTGTGCAGAGAATAACCTCAATGCCAAAACATTTGTTTTAAAAACACTGCATTCTCATGTTGGGCAACATGTTGATACCATGGTAATAGACAATTCTGAAGGCAAGCTGATTGCTGTGGGTACTGTTTAGCAGCCACAAAACATGTCCTGTGCCCTTTCCCAAGTGCTGTAATCTCAAGGCTCTGCTGAGTTTTTGCCTCAAATGCCCACAGTGGAGCCAGGCTCATGGCTGCTTTGCCCTAGGGATGGAAAACTAAAGTGGTGAGAGGTAAGCCCCATCCCTCCTTCGGCTGCTGAGGGAAGTGTCAGAGCAGAACAACTGGCTATGCAGGGAAAGGTGCTTGGAACCATGGCTGGAAAATGTGCTGAGAGCAAAGATGATGATTTCTGCCTTAAATGCTACCCTGTGCTGCACTTTCCATCTGTGGGATAAAAGATGCTCGTCCCCTTCCCTTCTGTCTATGCTAAAACACAAGACCCTACAAACTATTAGTAACA